GTTTCCTTGGTTACCGCTGTAAACAAAGCAGCGCTGCGCTCATGAACAGCAGTGATACAGCGTTTCCTTGGTTACCGCTGTAAACAAAGCAGCGCTGCGCTCATGAACAGCAGTGATACAGTGTTTCCTTGGTTACCGCTGTAAACAAAGCAGCGCTGCGCTCATGAACAGCAGTGATACAGCGTTTCCTTGGTTACCGCTGTAAACAAAGCAGTGCTGCGCTTATGAACAGCAGTGATACAGTGTTTCCTTGGTTACCGCTGTAAACAAAGCAGCGCTGCGCTTATGAACAGCAGTGATACAGTGTTTCCTTGGTTACCGCTGTAAACCAAGCAGCGCTGCAGTTATGAACTTTAATATGCATTATACAGAGGCAAGAGAAAAAAAAAATACCATCTAAACTTTTCTAAAGACAGTAAGTTCCCCTCAGACACGCATGCATATAAACTCCTACCCCTAATTGAATCGCGATTTGTTTAGCATCTCAACCGATTTGAATCGTCACATAATTTAATCGCTTTTCAACTGGCTCGCGGTTAATCGTTACCTCCCTACTGCAAGCTACTCAAATTAGAAACCAAAAAAAAAATTATAATAAAATGCACAACACAAACTCCAACAAACAAATTTCCCCAATCCTACAAATCTTTCGCTCTACACGGCTAACGTTACGTGCATCCTATTGTTCACTTTACAGCTTCAGAGTTTGGATATTACGGTGATATTTGCATTAAATGAACTTAAGATTACAGACAGATCAGACACTTTCACTTCACTTTTTAAAATCCATATTCATCTTTATCAGTAAAATCGTGATAAACGGTACTATTTGGTTAGAAACGCACACAAACTATGCTATTAGTGTGTTCAACAGTTCATCAGTGTGTCATTTATTTGTTTGCATAAATTCAACTGAGAAATGCATAGATCTAGTGAACGCAAAATGTAATCATCATCAAATACTAAGAAAAATGCATAGATTTCTCAAATGTATTATAATTTATAATTATTAATTTAATATTTTATGAAATACCAATATAATATTTATCACACGATTTATCGTAAAATATTTAAGTAGTTTCATAACTAGAATATTTTTATTTACAATTTTATTTAAATGTATGCATAAAGAAAAGGATAATTTCACAACAATTCCGCATAAATGCAATGGTACAAATTATTATAAATTAAAACCAACAATTACTTAGGAATATGTATCAAAAATAATCTAAAATGTATAAATAGAATTTATAATTATTAATTAAATATGTATTGAATATTAACAATTTTTATTGCACGTTTTACATTTTTCATTACTATAATTTTTTTATTTATAAAATCAATTACCACTTAATTGTACGCATCATATGTTTAATATGCATCAATAATATAATTTCTCAAATGCATAATTAGAATTTATAATTATTATTAATTAAATATGGATGAAATATCAATATAGTACACGTTTTATAATATTTAACTAGTTTCATTATATAATTATTAATTATTTTTATTATATAAATATAAATATTATATTATACATATTTTTTATAATAGCACATTAATATCTTAATTATTATAATATTTTTATTTAGCATTTTTATTTAGATTTAAGCATTTGGAAGACACTTTTCAGATCAGAACGTACCAGAGGCGATCTGGATCTTACAGTTGGATTCCAGCTGAATTCTCGTGATCTGCTCGCCGCCGCGTCCAATGACTGATAAAAACACACAGATCAGCTTATATCAGGCCAAAAATTGCATGCATACTGATTTATAAAGAAGAATATTTTTTAATAAAAATAGTGCAGCTTCTAACAGGCCAAAAATTGTATGCATACTATTTTTTTTGCATGCATGCATGCAACGTTTTTCAAAACACAACAGCAAATGCTTATTTTTTAGACAAACTGCTCTAAATTAAAAAAATAATAAAAGTGAGCAAATCATTATAAACCTCAGTAGGACTTTGTCACTAAAAATCTGCACATGCATGCATTTTTAGAGCGTTCCATAAAATGTAACATTTTATCACAGCGAAGCTGCATTAGGTTGTTATTTTTATGCTAATTATTAGACTATTAAAGCTCAAATGTTTGTGCAAAATCCATATGAAGAATATCAGTACTTACTGAATCCAACCATCTTATCAGGCACTTTGAACTCTTCTGTTATTATAGCCCTAAACAAACACACAGCATGATCATTACAGCTGTGCACAGAAATGCACGGTTATTAGTCCAAAAACTATAATAAGCAACAGCACAAGATGAGAGTTTTAATAAATACAAGCGCTCACCTTGTACCATGCACCATTGCACCGAGCTGGCTCGCCACTGCACAGAAACAGACGGGAAAAATACATTAGTGTTCATTACACATCATCATATTACAGTCTGGCAGAACAAACTTCAAACCTGAGAATACGTAAATGTTCCAAAAAAAAAAACATTTAAAAATACGGTCATAAATAATCTATTATATTTCAAGAGCTGAACAACTTAGGTACAATGTTGGAGTTAACAAAATTGAATAAATAGTTTTAATATAGTTAAATAGCAAAAGTTAAATAGTATGAATAATTTAAAAACCGTAAAAAAATGTTCATTATTAATTATTATTTATTTATCTAACAAATGAGGTTTTAGACACTCAACGAATCGCAAATAAATAAAGAATAACAAAAGCAAAATGTTAAAAAAATATATTTTCGCTACATGAACCTGCAGGTCAAAATTCACCAGACTTAAACTTTTGGCACGCAGCGATTATTATTAATATCAATGCACACTGAAACGTAGTGTTTGCATGCATGTTGGTTTCAGCTAAACATTCATGCAACAAGAAAATATTCAATTTAATAAATTTTGAAAGAAGAAAAAAAAAACGTTTTTCAAGGTATTTTATTTTTGTTTACAAATGCGATGCATTACTAATTAATATAATTATGAGGGAGGTTTTTTTTCTTCTTCTAAGAATTTAAAAAAAATTGTATATGTCAAACTACTTAATAAAGCGGTCCTTTCAAGTTTTAGTAATGACCAATAACAATTAAAGCCAGAAAAAAATGATTGCATTGATAACTGAATAAAAGATTAAAAATAAAATAACTTCCCACAGATTTAAACCCAGTTTTTAACCACGATGTGTTTGAATCACAGGTTTATTCTGGGGTTTTGAAAATGAATCAGGCCACACAAACGGGTTTCGCTTCCTGACGTTTGCACAAGAGTTCAAGAGCAGAAGTAGTCATCAGTGGCTGGTGTGGGAAAACACTGTCAAAGGTCAACGCTTCTTAAAGCCCTGCATTGATTTTAACCTCAAAGTTACTTTACTTTCGTCCTGTATCTGCTGTATTACTCAGACTAACACTGACATGATATTAATCATTCAGCAGACAGTATAACCACAAATCAGCCTAGTGGTGCCTAATAATGCAGCAACATTCATAAGCAACAGGTGTGTGTTTATGTGAAAATCTGAGCTTTAATGATCCATCTCATGAATAAAGGATTTGAGGATGTACCTCCTTCGTCCAGCGAGCGTTTCTGTCCTCCGAAGCCATACAGCGAGGCATCGACGACTGGAGACGAGTTATTCAGATGCTGCATCTGCTCTCCTCCCATCTTAGCAATCTGTGAGAGACCAGAGAGAAAACCACGGACTGAAACACGCCTCGGCTGGAGCACGTCTGGCAGAGGCATACAGGACTGGGTGATCATTCAAAAAATAATAAATAAAAAATTTAATTAAAAAATAAATAAAAAATAAAATAAATAAAATAAACATATAACATATAAAATAAAATATTATATAATAAAATATAAAATTAAATTAAAAAATATATATATTCACACACACACAAACTAAAATCATATACATTTTGTGTATATATTTGAAAAATTAAAAATGTCCACATTTATTTTGGTGCATGAACAAAAATATAAAACACAGAACTACTATAATAAACACACACACACACACACGCATGCAAAGTCAAATCACTGGACAAGTAATTCTCCAAAATGCAAGCTTGTAAATGTTTGAGTCTTTCATTCACACACACAAGTATAAACTAAAATAGCAATAGGATTTGTACTAGCAAAACAACGAAAATAGATAAAAAAAAAAAAAATTATAATAAAGTGCATTTTCATGAGTATTATCAAAACCTAAATAATT